AGGGGTTCATACAGACACACTGACTGACTGGACACTCCAGTACATTAACACTGCACTGAGAGAGAGGGGTTCATACAGACACACTGACTGGACTGAAGAGAGTTAAGAAACAACTACAATACACTTCAACAAAAACTACAACATATCATAACAGAATTCAAATATAATTCTTACTGTGTTGATGTTCGGTAGTATCTGCTAAATAAAATATCCGTCATGCGTTTCCAGGTATAAAATAACACAATCTTTTAATTCATTATGCAGCTGGTAACGTCATTTCTAAATTTTCGAAACAATTATCGCTGATTTCAAGCCGTTCTGTGGTCTCGAACTGGTAAAAACGACGTCCCGAAGAGCTTATTTTCTGCCTGACAACAGCGTTACTCAACTGCGGTAGCATTGGCTGAAAAAGCATTCAATGGGTTTTGTTCTCCTCTTTTTACTGGCCTTTTCTTACATCACTCAGATGAGCTTCGGTCACCGATTGGATAGAATTCATCATTGAAGGCGGGTCGTCTCCTTCAGCAGCGGCTCTCATTCGCTGAAACGCGTTCCGAGGCGATGATTGGATGAAAAGCTCCGCGGCCGTCCCTCCTCCTCCTCGATTTAAAGGGCTTTTCTGGTCCTGCCTCTTAAGGGTAAAGTTTTGTAATGTCAGGAACCGGAACCGGAAGTTTACAAGCTCTTCCTGCGCCGCCGGAGGAGGAGGTATTAGTGGTTAACGTGTTAGTTGTCGGCTAATTGTTAGTTGTGTGAACAGTGTTAACGTTTTTAGGCACGTGTGCGATTCATGTTTTATACCTTCTTGTGTCTCCTTTCGGAATACTGTGTTGAGGAGTATAAATTGGAAATTCGTTTGGATAATTGCTGAGAGATACAATCTTACAAATAAAGTTAAAGAAATTTAATTTAAGATCGGTCATAGATTGTATCCTGTTCAATTGACCACTTTCTAGATTTCAACACGAACGCGATGACTCATGTGTATTTTGTAATAATGAGAAGGAAGCTCTGTTACATTTTTTTAACTGTGTATATATACAAAACTGGTTTGGATAGATTTGCAAAATGTTATTGTTAAACATTTAAAGGTAAAGGGACAAGTCATAGGTTAATTCCATGGGAAGAAAGAGAACACAACGTTTCGGCCGTGGAGCCTCCTTCAGGTGTGTTTTCTCTTCTCTTTTCAGAAGGAACAAACCTTTACTTGTTCCTTTGCAGCCTACGCGAGCTGACGCAGCTCCCCACCTGAACTATTTAAAGGTATCTTTTAAATTGAAAGATTGTGATGTTTTTTTATAGTTCGTTAGATCTGGTTTGGATATAGGGTATGTTTTTATTGTTAATCTTAATTATTTTGGCTATTTACTTCATCCACAAAAGTAAATGGTCTAATACTGCTCTAATATATAATACTGCTCCCTCTATTCACACTTTTAAAGTTGAATTCACTTTTAATATAAATTCTATTAGAAATTTAAAGAATCAAAAGGCGAGACATGCAATGGAAATGTGTAAAAAGTATCATTTTGTGTTTTTACAATTGTGAATTCCTCCTTGTATCCATTTCAATATTCTGCCTCTTTTTTTTTTGTATTTCTGATGTTTAAATAAAAACTTATGTTAAAAAATAACTGTCAACGTCGATCATCGAGACAAGAGTGGTTTTTAACCTTTCCTCGAAAAACAGCCAAGTTAACGTGTAAAGAGTTTTTCTACATTTGCAACCGCAGCTTGGTTACTGAGGCTACGATAAGCCCCTTAATGTGATAAATCTGTGGGGGGAAAAATCGTTTTATGTGGTGAAACTTTTATATTTTAAAGTTTATATTTTCATTCCCGCGAGACCAAACTTTGTAGAGGAGGCATCCGTCTCGGTAATTAGATCTCTTATTTTAGGGGTGCGTCATGCCCAGCTGGCTCTTCGGAAGAAGAGCTCTGCCTGGCGTTCATCTTGGCCCTACAGTCCCCCCCCCCCCAAGCCAGATTCCGGGCTCGGACATCTTTCCTACTGCCAGGACTTTAACGTCCCGACGGACCATGAAAGGTTAACGCACCCCGGAGCTCCTGGACTGCCTGTTCCACCCTCCCGCCACTCTTTGTGTAAAGGTGTGCTGACCGGAGGTTCCCTCCCAGCTGTTGCTTGAGAGAAGCCAAGGTGTCAGCTTCAGCAGCAGGGCTGGACGGCTTCTTCCAGACTCTCCCAACCCAGTTACCTGAATTAACATTGGGGGGGCCAAGGATTAATGACAACTGCCTTATGGACAGCCCACCCCATGAATGTCTTCAAATCCAGGCTGTTGCTAGGCAGACCTGGACTGTACCCTGACTGTGATTAGACAACACTCACAGTGATGTGGTCCAATTCTCCGGCAGGAGAGCTCCTACTCCCTGGCTAGAGAATTGGGTGACATCATGGGAATGTACATTAGCCCGCCCAACTGCAGAATGCAAGGCTATGATTGAAGCACTAAATGATAGTATGCACAGATTTACAGAGTGTATGTGTACACACTGCACATTTACGGTGTATAGACACACAGAAAGCAACACTTATTCAGGTATAATAAATCATATTTATTGCCTAGGCAATGATGAGTGATACACAGATATCGAGAGAACAAACAGTAATGAAGAGTACATATCGATAAAGAAGGCAAATATTTACAAATATACAGCCCTCGCTAAACACCAGCTGTCACGCAAGGCCTCTGTGCTCTGTGGCGCAAGTAACCGCTTCCGCCACGAGCATATGTGTCAGTCCCCACATAAGGCATAGAAGGCCAGAATCATGCCAGGCCCATACAATCCAGTGCTTATGCCTGCTCCTTACTTGTGTCTGGTATTGTCCGGCTGCCAAGGCTGGTAAAACTAAATAATGGGAAAGAAATTGGAATAATGGGATTGATCGCCCGACCATTTCGCACAACATCTTTGTTCGGGCTGGGGCTCCTGGTCAAGTGCATCTGGAATGGATACCTTCGCAGTGAAACCTCGGCTATCGACACAACAGGTCTAATTCGTCTTTGTTCGATTAAACGGGTCTGGCGGTGAAGCTTTGCTCTCTCACTGGTATGCTGGTTTGGCCTGGAGCATTCTTGGCTGTTCCTCAAGAGCTATATCTTGCTTCAGACATTTAGATGCTGCTTTAGACTGTAGCAAAATGATTGCGATAACCTATTGATGAAATAAGATTAGTGTCTGTTTTGATGACAAGACCACGCCTCCCAGCAAAACCGTCAGGCGCACACACAGTACGAGCACAAAGTGTTTAAAGGGCTCAGTCCGCAGCTCCGTGCGGTGACACAGTAGGAGAGGAAAACATTTCCGTTCACATATCAGTGGAGCTGATCAGATACACAAGCAAACAAGAACAATCTTTGTGTAAAATAAATAAAACTAAATCTGAAGAGGAAGAGAAGGGACTAAAATTAAATATTAAACATTTGTTTGCGGAACCTTAACTACCACGAATGCTCTATGTCCTAGGTACACAAGTCCACAGTGCTCTTCAGTCGCTGTTGCATTGTAGGGCAGTTGTAGTAACAATAGTTTAATTCCAAGACTTTTACGTTATTGAAAAGTGCAAGTAATTATTAAAGTGTAATTTGACCTTAAAGGACGATTTGCACTTAGTAATGGGAAAGTGGCTCTTACGAAGTCATTAATAAACAAATCCTTTCAATTAATAATGAGTTTGTCAATGTGCCTTATGAAATATAGAGTATTCTGTGTGTCTGTGTGTGTGTTTCACTGCTGGGTCACAGAAGAGCTCAGGGCTGTGTGTGTGTGTTTCACTGCTGGGTCACAGAAGAGCTCAGGGCTGTGTGTGTGTGTTTTACTGGGTCACAGCAGAGCTCAGGGCTGTGTGTGTGTGTTTCACTGCTGGGTCACAGAAGAGCTCAGGGCTGTGTGTGTGTGTTTCACTGGCTCACAGCAGAGCTCAGGGCTGTGCGTGTGTGTGTTTCACTGGGTCACAGCAGAGCTCAGGGCTGTGTGTGTGTGTGT